AGCAGGCTGTAAAGCCGATTGACTGTTCAGAGGCAAAAAACAGGACCTGCTTTTAATCCCAAATAAAAGCATTATTTTACCTTTCCTTCTCTACACTGCATGGAAGACGGGCTTCTTTTGGGGGGGCTGGGAAGAATAGGACAGTATGTGGAAATTGTTTAGCTATGCCCCTCAAACTCCCCAGAATGCTATGAGGTGTTAATGGGTTGTTAGGAAAGCAGACTAATGTACTCATAATTGATGATCAAGTGTGCTCAACACTGTGTCTTCTAAAGCACAGTGGGTATAGTGAGTTTACAGTGAGATGTTTTAGGGATTTTGAGGTTATAAACAGGTTTTTCTGCATACAGAAAGTCCCCCCAACATCATTCACTGATTGATCAGCAGAGGACCAAAGGTCTTCTAGAGAAAATGATATTCAGTTTGCTGAACATGCACGTTAGCAGCTCTCCTGACTTTCAAGGGGAAGGGTTAGCTCCGCTGTGTCTGTGAGGTTTACGGCTCAGGCTCACTGAACTCCAAGAGAGAAACAGTCATGATTTTCTGAGAGGTAGAAGTCAAAAGTATGCAACACAGAACAGAATTGTCTTTCAAGGAAAAAAAAAAAATGAAGCAACCCACCTTGCAGTTTCAAGGCATGTTATAACACATCATCTGTTCAGGTTCTGTATCTGTAAAATTCATATCTTTACATTGGCTTTATAAACACCACCACTTTTTGGGTTATTCTTGCAATGCAACTTCTGAAAGAGGGAGAATAACATCAAGCCAGACTTGTGAGGAGAACAGGTACTTCTTTAGTAGTTGGCACCTGCATGCAGTTTATGCAATACAGCAAGAGAGGAAGGCAGAGGGTAATATCCCACATAGCCATCATCTGTATTTTAGCCTTGATATATAAACCAGTCCCAAAAAGCTTGTTGTAAGCTGGTACAGACATACATATATGTAAGCTAATCTACGTTTGCTCAATGTCAGAACCCACAAGAATTTGCAGTCCTACGTGAACCTCTTCTCAGGGTGGGCGCTCTGCACCTTACAGAGGAGAGGTGGGTGGTGAAGACAGGCAAGGCTTTTTCAGAAGTGGCACCTCACCTTTGGGATGTCCTCCCCCTTGAGGCTCTTGGCACATGCCCTACCTTCCTTTGACACTGGGCCAAAGCATTTTGATGTAACCACCTTTTAACTAATGGAATCCATCTTGTTAGGTATTTTATGGTCTTCTCCAAGTTTAAGGACTATTGTTATTTTAGGCTGCACTGTTTATGTTGCTTTTATGTCCTGGCAAGTCTTTATTGACTTGCCATATGTTTGGTTATGTGCCACCCTGAGCAGGTTCTGGAGTGGCAGCAGACACATTTTCTAAATCAAATAATACAAGAATTGACCCGGTGGAAAGTTCCAGAGAGATTTAAATGTTTCTGCAACAAAGTGGCAGAGATTAGATGTCTTCATTGAAAGAACTGCAAGGTGGCTCAAAAATAAAATATTTTAAGATGAGCAAGAAAAAGTTGTTCCTAAAAGCAGCATGTGTCATTTCACTGCATTGAGAGGATTACAGTATTACATTCTGGATAACTGTCTTTTGTAGGGTCAACTGGTTACAAAGAATTATCCTAGTGGTGCTCTAGGAGTTATTGGACTGCTTGTGGCAGCATCCACTATGTGTATCCCCCTGGCTGCATTAGTAACTTTGATCATAAGCAGAAAAAGAAGGAATGCATCAACTGCTGCATGACCATTAACATCTGGCTTTAAGAGAACTTCAAGAACAGCCACAGCTTCCACAGTGCATTCTGAAGAGTCCTGCAGATACCATCAGCAACCGTTAGACATGCAGAATCTGGGTACTGCCAAACCAAACTACCCTCTTGGCAGCTCCTGTACTGACTCAGGCAAGTTGTAGCTGATAATGGTTCAAGATGGTCTTCAAGAGGTATGTCTACAGAATGACAATGTTCAAGTAGACAACCAGCTTTTACAAAGAAGTATACATTGGCCAATTTCATCTGCCTACATAAGACAACCTTTGCCTTAGTAGAAATGTGTTTCTTTTGTATCTGGAGTGCTAGAAGAAAGTCTTGCACTTCAAGGAAACTGCAACGTGTCTGCTACACAAGTTATCTGTGCTGTTCATGGAATGTATATTCCTGGTAGATGCTAGGAAATGTCTGTAGAATCTGCATTGGCTCACTGAGTTATCAATGTTTGTATGTACAGCACTGTTTACAGGAAGTAAACCACAGTTTCCAAAATGTGGCAGTCTGTGGCATTTCATAAGATGTACTTTGCACCACCCTTCTGCTAATCAAATGTTCAACACAGGGTCATGTTATGAACTGAAAATATGCATCGGATAACCTAACATCACATCTTCCATTTCCTAATATTCTTAAAAGTTACCACGAAATGTCAAAATACACATAAAACCTTTAAAAAGTGGGTTATATATGTTCTCCATAGCAAAATTTAAAAACCAAAGCCATGTCATACTCTCTGGCCAAGCTCTTAACACCTCTTCTTCAGTATCCTGTGGACACTAAATGTGGCAAGTATCGGGTTGCACCACTAACATACTATAAACAAAACATGGAAGCCATTCCAGTGAAAACACAACTCAGTCAACCTTAAGCACCTTATGTAGCCACATCATGAGAAAAACATTTACCTCGTTTGCATGTACCAGATGTTGCCGTCATAGTTTTGACCTTGGATAGTGAAAGCTAAAAAACCTTTTAACACAAAAACCAATGCTTAGGTTCTTATGAACAGCCTGAGGACTACACAGAACTGCCCAAGAGATCACATACTGCTTAGCCATGTCCTATTACATGACCAGGACCCCACACATCGACAGTTTCCTACCCTATTATAAAATATCTAATGTAGCTGCTGTACCCAGCTCTCTTAAATGACAGCTGAAATGAAGATACCAATTTTAATCACTGAATGCTTGATTACAACTGTGTAACCTACATTAATTTTTTCATGCTAAAGTTCACAGAACACTTAAAATACTAGCTGAAAATCAATATGCACCAATAGATCAGGTAAGCATAACTGGAAGCTAAGTCACAAACAATGAACCTTGGGAGATCGGAAGAAATTACAACATATGTACTGAAGAAATTCCATGATCTGCCCAAATAGCTTTGCCAGACTTGGAGTAGGTTCTGTGGGTCACATGCACAGGTACATAAACTGGAGAAGTTTTCATACTTGTTTATTAAAAACTGACACTGAATACAACCTGTACAAAAACAAACAAACAAACCAAAGTTGCTGGGCATTTTTCAGTGGCTGTAAAGAAATTATCGCCTAGGACCTCCTCTTCCTCGACCACGACCTCTTCCTCTGCCACGACCTCTACCACGTCCTCTTCCTGCAACTGAAGACAAAAAAGACAAATTTCTTTGAACAAAGATAGATTTGAAATAACTTTGATTTAGCGTGTTATGTATTTTACCAGATTTTGGACTCAGTTTTATTTAAGTCTCAATAAAAATTTAACTTCACTTTTAAATAATGCTTTCACTATACTAAAAGCACTGCATTAGCAAAGGAATCTTTCTGCAATAATGTGTTGCTAAACGTCACACAGCCATGATCTTATTTTCTACATCCTTATACCGGTTTTCCATTCAAAGAACAAGTAGTTATGTTCATACTGTAAGCTCTGTCACAGATAAAGACAATTGTTGCTACAATGAGCCTATGTCAAAAAGAAATGTGCTAAGTACAGAGACTGTAAATCCCACATCTTCTTTTGGGTCCCAAGACAGATTCCACAACAGCTTAATTCCAGTAGTTCTTAAATAGAGATGTTTTTAAAAAGATCAAGAAAGGAGATACTTGGTTCAATCCAAGTAGTATAACCACTGGCAAAAAAGAAAAGATCACCAAGACTATTTTGGGGACGTTGAGACCTACATAAACAAAAGGTATGTGGAAACTGAGTGACTGACATAAAGTTAGCTGGGTCCAATGCACTGATCTTCAGACCAATGCTCCCTCTAAGCTGTGGAGTCCTGTGAGCAAAAACTCCACTTTGTGAGCTACTGGGATTAAAGTTGTGAGTGAGCAATTTGGCTACTACATGGATTAGTTTGCTCTGGAGCCATCCTTCCTGAACTAAGACAAAAATGTGCGAGCCAGAGGCTAAAAAAACTGAGCTAGCTCACACTAACTCAGTTTAGAGGAAACACTGCTTAAGACTCCTGTCTACAACTATAGAGAGGTTAACCTGAGGCAAAACAAGCATCACAGCAGTCCTGTGTCATCAGAAGCCATACAGACATTAGACAATTATACTGATTAATGCTGTTTCTTGCCTACCACAACAATCACTCCCTATGACTTAACATTAGAGGGCAGCTGAGTATACCAGATATTCAGCCTGTCCCTTATTGTCACAAAAATGTGTTTCAGGAATAAGTTGTGAAGTGGCAGTGCTATATGAGCAGAATTTTTAAAAATTATTTGAAATGTATTGGAAATTTATGGCATTAGAGAGCCATTCCTAACTCTGATTTCAGTAGACTTGTGTGACTACTAATTTTAAAAGAACCATTAAAATAACTCAAGTGTTTATATCACTCCTTTCAGATTTGCAGGAGGAAGGGAAGGAATGAACATGAACAACCAATCATTGGTAGGATGGTCTGCTATGGAAATGAAAGGATGTGTGGCCTCTTGGATTCAACCAGATGGGTCTAACTACTATCCACTCAGAACTGCACTATTAAATAAGGCTGAATTCAGATGTAATGACAACCTATGGCCTGATGTCACAGGAATTTTGCTAAAAGAATTTCCACTAAAGTTGAGCAAGCTATGATGCTAAATCATGAAAAAGCAGCTAACATTCTAATGAATCATTCATTTATTCTAGTTTGAGAAAAAGGAAAACTATTTTGCCAGTGTTATTCAGTGAATAAGCACACTGTTTAAGTACATACTTCATTCTCAACCAAGTATAATCTTGGGAGATTTATACAATAAGCATTTATGCTACCAGTTCTTGATATTATGAAATAAAGTCACTAACCTGCTTCCCTTTTCTTCGATTTAACTTTTGGTTCAACATCCACCAGCAAAGTATCTAGGGGCAAACTGTCTGGCAAAATGAAGTATCTAATATTATTCCCTCGAATACTCAAAGTCTCCAGCTGGACAGGTTCTCTGTTCTTCAAAGTCATCTTCACAGCTTTAAGATGGGTATTCATACTGACATCCACACCTAAAATGTAGAACAAAACTTCCAGTTGAACCCGGGGTTTAACAAATTTCAATTATCCTTTAATATATTGCCAGACGCCACAGATGAAACTCTTTAGGGCAACACAGAAGAGGCAAATGTACTACAGAGAAAAGTAAATGCAGTCTGAAAACTCATAGGAAGAAAATACTCTTAGTTGCTTTGAGCACCACTGCCTGTCCTCCTCCCCCCTTATTCTCAGCCATATTCTCTCTCCAGGTACAGAATACCCACTCCCATTGCACATTGGCTAGATATAAATGATCTTTCTATTCAGGGTTCAGGGGCACTAATCCCCTGCCATAATCATCCTCTGGCTAAAGTACAATATCAATAAGCCTACCCAGAAAACCATTCAATAAGCTGAACTAAATATGTATGGGGGTATCCATGGTTTTATTTTTTATGTTATAAATTATGGTATTTTTGACTTGTAAGCCTCCTTGAGCTATGAAAAAAATGAAATATAAATATTTTAATAAAGCTGGCACACACAATTTACAAGTGCCTCTTCTCCCACTGTATCAGTGAAACACAGAGAAGTTCCAAATGAAAGTCAGAGTGGTATATTGAAAAGAGCACTGGGTTTGAATGAGGCAAACCCAAGTTAAAGTTAAAATGGCCTTGAATAAATTGTGCTCACTCAGCCAAACTCACCTCACAGAGCTGATGAGGGAATAAATGTGGATGACCATACATATGCCACCCTTAATTCTTGAGAAGCGGAGAAGAGGATAAGAGTAAATTATAATCAGGGGTTCTTCATGCAATTGCAACACATGCTCCAATAATAATTATTAAAAAGACAGCTGCTTACGACATATTGAGCAGCACCGCAGCCCATACCTGTGATTGTTCCATGTACTTGGGTTCCATTCTTCAGTTCAATTGTCACAGTCTCATGGCTAAGTTTCATGAGAAACCTGCAAGGGATAAGTAACACAAAGGTAGTATTTTGTAGCTAAAATGTTACTGCATTTCATTATTTTTTTTTAAAAGCTCTGGGTACTAACGGATACCAAGATTAATGCAATAGTTAAAGAAATTGCCATAAAACAAAGGCATAAAGGATATCTGTCTTCTGGATCATACCACTGGCCAGAGAACAACTGAACTGTTGCCAGGCAGTGGGAGTTTTCCTTGTGAATCACTGATGCTTCACTCCATTAGGAATTGTGAAAGAACTGTGCAGTACTTTGCTGAAAAGGAAAGGGGAAAAAAAACAAAAAACCCAAAAGGATATGGAAGCCCACATGGGAAAGTGGTGTTCATTTGCTTTGGAATGGGGCATCAGCTGTCTAGTCAAACTGAAACAGGTAACTCAGTTAGGTATCTGGCTGCTCATTTTAGAAATGAAATGTAAAATCTAAGCCTCTAGAACAGGGGTGTCAAACATAAGGCCCAGGGGCTGGATCTGGCCCATCCAGGGCTCTTATGTGGCCCGCGAGCAACTGATGCAAGAAAGGGAGATGGGGGGAGTGGGCAGAGCCTCGTTCAGCACAGCAGAGCAACCTTGCCTGCAGCAGTCAAGCATCGTGGAAGCATCTGCCCAGCATTGCACTCCTGTCTCTCCATTCTGCCTCTGTGGGTTTTCCTCTGCACCCCACCCCAGGGGGCCTTGCAGTGAGGACACACCAACTCAGAGTTTACCAGCTGCTGTCCTTTATACAGTTATTATCTCCAGTACGTGGCATTACGTTTTATGGCACACATGGCCTGGCCGGACAAAGACATTTATGTCAGATCTGGCCCTCGTAACAAATGAGTTTGACACCCCGCTCTAGAACATGAATTGAGGGGAGGAATAGAAGAGAAAAGACCAAGTTTATAATTTTACAAGACTATGCCTTATTTTACAGTCTACTTGATAAGCAGTGTTTTAAAACAAGGTATTTGCTGTTCAGTTTAAAACTTTTTTCTGGTATCCAATATGAAAAATCTACCCACAGAAAGCTCTTTCATGGATGTGAATAATCAGTGTTGTCAACCGCCTCACTTGTATAAGTAGCAAAAAGAGAACACCAACTATAATACATTTTTATTAGTACTAATGATAAACAATCTGGTTGGGGGGGGCAGCACTTAGGCCATTCATAGTAATGAAGAAAATGTGGGAGCCAGTATGAATTCAGTGGCTAGTTTGCTGGATCATGTTCAAATGGCCATACAGGAATGGCTGTAAGTCCAAACAGCCACTAAACTTGCAGAGTGGCTCTAGGCAGATCATTGGGTGACTGATGTTGTCAAGATCTTAGGATATGTGTACACTGGACCCATGCCTTTCCTGGTTGTTAAAAGCACACAAGGACCTTATCAATGAAGACCTGAAATGCATCATAAATCAATCACTGACCCAGGGCTCATTCCTCAGGTCATTAAAACACACAGCCATTCCTTCCCTACTGAAAAAGTCATTAGAGAATGATGTGTCTAATTATCACCCAAAAGAAAATGAAGGGTTGCTCCAGCTGCTTAGAGAGGTGACTGGATTTCTCCTTTTGGGCTATATATAAATCTGATAGCCAGAATGATAAAATTCTTCTTAGAAAGGAAGGAGAGTGGATTCTTGAGTTGACAACCTTGGTACCATATGAACTAAATAAAAACATTTCCTGGCTGACTTTGACATAGAAATGCAGACTGAGAATAGGACATTTTTTTCAAAGCTGGTGTAGTGAGAGCATTGCTACATTTATATTCCACAAGTCTGTACAGATTTTTGGTTAAAAGAGATTTATTCATTCTATTAATTTCCAAAATTACATATTATTTGTTTGTACATGCCTGTAATAATTCTTGCAACATTATTCCACATTCCTAGCAGTGTTTTGGTTGCTCTTAATAATTAAATGTTCTTTACACATTGTCAGAAAGCTCTGTCTTTTAAAACATTTTGTATCATAATCACAAAGAGGTTATTAACATTTTGGAATAAAATTTTCTTCTCACTGCACCATTGTTTTTTCTTTGCCAATCACCACCCAGTTTTCAACCTACCCTTCCTGGGCAAGATTACTGAGAGCGCAGTATCAAAACAGCTCCACACCATTGTGGATAAGTCCTCTGCCCTAGACCCCTTTCAGCCTGGCTTCAGAACATGCTATGGAACTGAGACAATTCTGGTGGCTTTATTTGATGATCTCCAATTTATATCATGCCTTGTGCCGTTTTATTGACACACTTGAAGAAACTGGGATAAAGGAGTGGTGCCCTAGATTGGCTAGGTTTAAATAATTCCTTACAGGTAGGACTCACAGTGTCACTACTGGACGCCAACAATCACCACTGTGTGACTTACCTTACAAAGCCTTATCACTCATGTTACTCAACTATAACACACTTGGGAAAAATCATTACATTTTTGGAGTAAGCTATTACCAATATGCTGATGGCACCCAGCTATAACCTAAAGGGTGCTGGGGTCCCCTTCACCTTTGGGGTCCTATATGGCTCCACCATGCTGTCTATGCTTTTGGGCTCCAACTTGTTTTCTATAGTTTTTCAACAGCTGTATCAAACTGCTGGTTGAGGATATCCAGAGATTAGGGCTGGACTGTCATCAGTACACAGAGAACACTCAGCTCTATTTTACATTTCTAGCCAGTCCCAGGAAGACCATAAAATTCTTGAACTAGACTGCCTGGAGACAATCTTGAAGTAGATGCGGGTTAAACCAAAGCTTAATCACAACCACCCAGAAGAGCTGCAGGTGAGCAAAAGATCCCATAGCAGCCATTTTATGGCAGCACCCACACCACCTATTCTCGAAAATTCCAGAAATGTTCATAGAGTCAACAATGCTGGAATCCCCCCCCCAAGGAACATTTTACTAGGGTTCAGAAGAATCCAGCCCAGTCTACGAGCCCATTACTACATTAGAGTCGGTTTGTAACCATGTGATCAAGTTTCTTCCGCTTCACATTAGCTAAATTTATATGCATTAGGAGAAAAAGAAAGCCGCAAGTTTGACAGAGAAACGATGCTTAAATCCCGAGGCAAGAAGCCCGACAAAAGACTCTAATTAAGAGACGCCCGCCGAGAAGGGGCGGCTGGCGGGCCACATACTTGCCCACCGCCCTGCAGAAAACGAGGCGGCAACCGCTACTCAAGGCCCGGATGAAGCCAACGGCCGAAGAAGGAAAAAGGAACAAGTGGCGGGAAGGGAGCGGTCCTCTGATTCATTCCAGGCTTACCTCACAAGCTTCATGGCGGCGGATGGACTGAAACGAAAGCAGGCCGAACACTCGCCGGGGACAGAAAACCAAAGACGAGCGAGGGCTACACGATAATGTTTTTTAAAAAAATTGAGCGCGGAGCAACAGCCCACGACTAGGCCGCTCCGATACTCGCGAAGAAGTGCGACTACCGCGCGCGATGAATGGCCGGAAGGACCTCCTCTTCCATCTCCGCTGCCCCGGATGTGAAGGGAGACTTTGAGTGGAAGCGAGCGCCTCCCATAGGAGGGGAGGACTCTGTGCACTTGCGTAGAAGAGTGAAATTGACACGGAGAAGGAAGGAAGGAAGGATGGCAAGGTTTCCTCTGGTGCTTTCTAGGTAGCCCTTGGCGCCGCTTGCAGGCTTTCAAAAACAGAGACCTTGCCCATTTTCCAAAAGTTGTCTGAAACTTGAAGCAGAGGAAGAGGGACCTCAACAACCTAAGTGCAGGCAAGGGCATGCAAAGGAAACCAGGAAGGACATTTCGAGGACCTCCTCCACATTCCTACAAGGCTTTACAGAAGTTACGCTGTCATGGCTTCCCTCAAATAATTCCCTCAAAGACTCAGTCCGCAGAGCATTCTCTGCTGGAAATTCCCAGCCCTCTCACATTTCCCAGGGTCACAGGCCTCGGTTCCTGCCTGGAGCGCACTGGAGCACTGCTCCGCCAGTCAGGAGCCCAGGGGGCGGGCACATAAGCCCCGTCCCCTGCTCCCACCAGCCATCCTTTGGGCAAGGAGGGGGGGAATGTTCCCCCGGCTCCCTGAGCCCCAGGGTGGTGGCCTTGGACTTGTAGCGGCAAATTCCACCTCTCGCTGGAGAGGTCATTCTGGCTCCCCCAGCTCTCCTTAGAGGCTCTTGAAAAGGTTATGGCGGCAGCTGCAACGCGGGGGGGGGACGTTCTCCCTCCTCCCTGAGCCCCGGGGTGGTGGCCTTGGACTCCTAGGGGCAAATTCCACCTCTCGCGTGTGATGTACGAGCGGCATCACACACGAGAGGTCATGCTGGCTCTCCCAGCTCTCCTTAGGGGCTCTTTAAAAGGTTATGGCCGCTGCGCTGTTCTTGGCGGCAGCTGCGACGCGGCGGGGGGGGGGGGCTTTTACCCTGGGGTGGTGGCCTTGGACTCATAGGGGCAAATTCCACCTCTCGTGTTGCTGCTTGGACATCACATGCGAGAGGTCATTCTGGCTCCCCCAGCTGTCCTTTGTTCTTGTTGTTCAGTCTTAGTTTTTTTGATGTTGAGCTTCAAGCCCACTTTTGCGCTCTTTAAAAAGTTATGACTGGCAGGTGCGCGGGGGGGACTGCTGAGCTGCCCTCCCCGCCAGCACCGGGCCTGAAGAAGGGCCAGCCGAATGTCAATTTCGGCCCCATTATATCCTATGGGCCATTGAAGTCAATGGCGAAAACATTGGGTATATTCTGGGGGCTGGAGGGGGGAGTGTTTGAGGGAGAGGCTCCAAACTTGCAGGGTAGCTGCTGGAGCCTCTCCCCAAGATACCAACC